GATCGCGAGTCTCTCCTTCAAGGACGTGCTCGTCGACATCCTCGAGGACACGAGCCTCGCGGGCATCTTTGAGCTGAATACGTGCGCGTCGCAGCTAGAGATGTTGCGAGACGCGCGTTGCCACGTGCGGCTGAGATGCTTCCTTGTCGCCGTCAGGTACATTACGGGCGAGGTCAACCTCAAGTCAGTCTCGGCGGACGAGAAGTACAACCAGTATGCGGGCCGGCCAAACTGGAACCGCATCGGCCAAAGCATCGGCGACAGCTTCCCGACCAGCGACGTCGGCGTCTTCCTCTGCGGGCCAAACGCCATCGGGAAGCAGCTGGCGGCGATGACCAGCAAGATGAACAAGTCGGACACCACCCGGCGCTTTGTGCTCCACAAGGAGTCCTTCTGAGCGGCGCGCCACTGGCGCGCGCCGCGGTCGACCACAACTGCGCCCCCTACAGTGAGAGATGCCTCAGTACCACACCTTCGTAGTTCGTTGCATGCATGTAGTGTTCAATACAATATAGCGCGTGCCTCGGACTCGGCGTGTCGTGTCCGGGGGGAGGGGTTAGGAGAGAGGGTGAGTGCATCCTCTCGGTTTTCCGTTGGGGCTCCATATTTTCTTCACTTGATCTCGTTTAATATATGTGACTTGTGAGCACTGTGTGGAACGCGGGAGCGATGGGTCCCAAAAAAGGTACCAGCAGAATGGCGCGTCTCCGCCCCCTTTCCTGTACGCGTGGGTCTCACAGAACGATTGCGCATTGGACCTTCGAGGGCATCAAAGTCGGCCGCGCCCCACGGCCATCCCGCCGGCTCTCGAGTGTCGCAGCGCGACGCGCTTCACCCCTCGACTCCGCTGCGAGTCGATCGGGAGACGACGCTCGGCCACCGCCAACTCCACCCTGACGTGTCGCACATGCGCCGAGTGTCCCCCCCGAGGGTGTCCTTGTATAGTATACTTGGTTGCGAGTTAAAAAAAGCCCATTCCGCGCCCGCAGCCAGCAGCAGTACACATGCCGTTCTGGTGCCCCTCGGCTGGCCAGAGGACGACTCACAATACAAAATCGGAAAGACATCACGAGGGGCCGTATAAACGGTGCCGCAGCGGCCCGGGACACTAACAATGAGTTGCCGCCATTCGCCCGGCCTCCTCCCCCTCGGGGTCGCCCGGAAAGTGGGCTTGCGCACCGGCGCCCCCCCAGCACGCCGACCCGAGGTGTACCCTCCGGCCACCTGGGAGGGGCGCTCCCTCCATTTTTGGCCCATTGGCTTCACCATGATGGATACGGAGATGGCCAGCCCTTGGTTGTGCACCTGCGACGCGAAGAGGAGGTGATCTCGGCGGACGACGGCCATGCCGAGAGCGGGCGCAGCGCGGAAGAGGGTGCGCAGCGCGTCGCGGCCGCGCACTTGGGAGCCGGGGGGGATGACCGGAGGGGGCGGGACGCCTGCATGTCCTCGAAGCTCCCAACCGCATACGCAAGCCGAGCCGCGAACGGCGGCGAGAGAGTTTGGCAGGGTCAGCGAGGACCGCGCATGGCGAAGGAACCTTTTTTAGGACCCAGCGCAAACACCGTCTCCCATCGTGGGTCGGTTCCGCAGTACGGGACCCCTCGATCGTCTCGCCCTCCCTCACTGGTGTGTTCATTGGGGGGGGTCATAACAAACACGGTACAGGATCGAGGTGCACGCTGCTGAAGCAGTGTCGTCCCCCCTCTCCCCGACGGCGATGGATGGCGGTGTGACCGATCGAGCTACAAGAGGAGCTTGTTCAGCAGGATCCGGGTTGGTCTGGCGCACTACCTCACTGGGCCTGAGATCGCACGACGCTTCCCGTCACCGTCTCGGGTTTGTGTGGGATCGAACCACTCCGGGATGGGCAAGCCCATCAATTTTCACTGTGTTTCTCCCCTGCACCTGCAGGGGATAGCGGGGGAGGGGTTGGCTATATCTGGGACGGAGGGCAAGAGGAGGAAAGGGAGGACGGGCCGGGGGGGGGGACTCATGGGCCGACGACTTGGGGACGGGTCTGAACCCTCCTGGTTTTGAGACCCTTTAACAAACAATGACGTCTCGGGGTTTCAGTTCGCCTTTCTGAAAGTTCTCTCTCTGCGGGCCCCTCTTTTAAAAAAGATTAAAAAAAAGGGGATCCCCGGCTGGGGCGCGACGGTT